ACCGCCCCCGCAGCCAACGGCTTCTCCTCTCTGGGGATCGACGGCATAACACACTCGGGACACGTCTGCACGGCAGGCGGGCAGCGACCAAACGACGCGCGCAGAAGCGGCAGAAAATAAAAACAAAAGAAGAAAAGGAGCAAACAAACAAAAAGTTGTACACGCATAGCGGCACTGCTGTCACGGGCGGAAGTAGCCACCTGCGCCTTTTGCTCTTCAGGCATAGCCCGTTCCGCATGGGCCTCAAGGCCGGCCCACCGAAGAAGCGCGTCCCCCACACTTATCTTGGCCCTACAAAACCCTATTCCTGTCCTCGTGCAATATAAACTCCCCCCCTGCAGTTTGCCTCCTGCACAGTTGAAATCGCGCTAACACACATTTTTTCCATCACCCCAATTATCCCCCTAAACACACACACATACACATATACATATACATATACATATATATACACATATATACACATATATACACATTTCCTAGTTATTGTTTATTTGCGGGTCTCTGCTATTATGACCTCCGCGAGGCAGCTGCGAGCATTACTGGGTGCGCCGACGGCGTACCGCCCACGCATTTCCGCGGCGCCCGCTTGCCTCTCTCCCCGCATACACCACTTTGGCACACGCGCAGGTCTCACGCGGCCGACCCCACCGGGGAAGCGGCCTCGTCGCCGTTGTTCTTTTCCTTCTCCGTGTGATCGCTGCCGGTCGAGCTGGTGTCCATGACCTTCTGCCGCTCGCGCAGGTGACGCCAGTTCCGACTTTCCACATACCAGAGCGCCAGGTTGTACGTCGTGACCGCAAGCAGCACGCACAGCAGCAGCAGCACGATCACCGCGTGTGCCCGCACCCAGCCGTCGCCCGGCAAGAGATAGCCCGCCGCGTTGGTGAGGCACAGCGCGCCAAGCAGTGCAAGGCCTGCAGTGTGCATCACCGTCAGGAAGAGGGAACGCATCATGTTTGCGTACAGCAGCACACCCGCCCCCAGGAGCAGAACCGTCGCCATGCAGAAGTACAGGTGAGAGCACTTCTCCACCGGCGGCTGCAGCGCCGCCAGCGCGCCGACGAGACACAACAGCGACAGCTCAAAGACGCACCTGTGCGCACCTCCTCCCCTCACCTGCGCCAAGACGCCGCCGTACATCTGCTGCTGCACTGGCGGGCCCCAGTAGCCGACGGGGTACAGCCAACGCACGAGAAGCGGCCGCGTTGAGAAGGCCGTGTACTCCGTAAAGTCCGCCTGGCAGCGCCGCGTGAGGAAAAGGCAGACGCCAGCTGGAAACGCCAGGCCGTAGAGGACGCCGATGGATCCGACCACGTAGTGCTGCAGCTGGGCGTCGGGCATCGCCAAAATGAAGACGGAGCAGATGCAGATGCCGGGGTGCATGACGTACGCCACGACGTACGTCAGGCCCGGGAAGCGCATCGCCGCCCACGCACTCGTCGCATCCGTGCCACGGCACCGCCGGTACGCCACAGTCGCCGCGTAGTGCACGCACGCAAACGCCGCGACGATCAGCGCGTTGCCCGCGACCATCCACAGCGGACCAAGGCCGGCAAAGACGGACAAAAAGTACGGCAGCAGCGCAAGGCCCCCACGCTCCCACGCGGGGGTGCACTTCATCATCGCGAACACGCCCAAGGTCTGCATATCCACGAGAAGGCCGAAGCCGCCCCCGGCCGCCACAGCCATTGCAGCCGTGCCGGCGCCAATACCATCCAGCAGCAGTAGCGCCCGCGTCAGTCCGGGCGGCGTGTTCGAAGTGATAGTGAACTCCCCTTGCAGCATCCCACTGCAGCCGCCGTGCAGCGCGCGTGGAACGTACCGGAGAACGATCTTCTCGTCCACCCCAACAAAGTAGCGATCGTCCACGGGCAACGTTAGCTCCAGCACGGCGTGCGGGTTCGTCGCGTTGCGCTCCCACGTCGCGTTGCGCAGCATCGTGCCCCACTGCCCACTGAAACCTTCAGGCTGCGCCACCGACGCCAACGCGAAGCTCAAGTACGGGCGGAGGTCGGTGTCGCGAGCCCAGCGGAATCCGGGCGGCAGCGCCACCGTCAGCTTCTTCGGCGCCGCGCTGCTTGTACGGATGTCCGCCAGCGTCAGGCCGCGGCCCGACGGCGTCGTCACTCCCAGCGCCGGGCACGCCACAGTGCGGTTTTGCCGGTCCACAGTGCGGTTGCACCCGTCCACACTGCTTTTGCACCTGTCCACACTACGGCTGTATCCGCCCACGCGGGGCAGGTCCAGCGGCAGGCAGTGCTCGCCGTGCCCTCCACCGGCGCACTCACACTTGCAGTCGCTGAACGCCGTCGTCAGCGCATCGAAGCAGTCGCCGTCCCTCGTGCACTCCCCGCACGCCGCAACATTCGTCACGTTGTTGATGCCATTGCGCTCCATCTCAGCCGCCGTCAACACCTTTCCCGCAACCGTCAGGCACCCAGCGACGAACTTGTAGCCGGCTTCGACGCCCTTCAGCAGGGCCTGCCCCAGACCCGTGGACGCCCATCTTGCAGCCCATCAACGTCACTGCACTGCTGCTGTCAAGC